TGTATTTTTAGATAAGTAAAATGACCAAAGAAATTACAAAAAAAACATATTTACTGACTGTTTGGGGTCTTGATAAGCCCTTGTATACTGTTACCAGTTTTTAATATCCAATTGAATCATGTTTTTAACAGAAACTTATTTTTATAGGTCAGAGCAAAAACAACACTTGGCTGGGGAGAGTACAGTAATGTTGTGTATATGACCACTGGCCAACTAGTGGACAGTACAGGTAAGAAAATTGTACAGAAACAGGTTATTATGATGTGTAGTTATAATTTACTGCATCAGGGACCACTTTACCAGCTGATAGTCTTGGTGTTTGTGTGAGTCTATCTAGTTATACAAAAGTACGGTAGACGTATTGTGCCAGTGTTGTTTTCGGAGCAAAGTTAATAGTGTTATAGTAACTACAACTGTTAATAATGGTGACTATTTTTTTTTAATGAGACTGTACTTTCACAGAAACATAACAGAAAAGGTACTGCATCACCTTCTAAGAGATTCTAATGTTATAAGAAAATATTTTTCTTTCATTACATGTTCCTGTAGGTTCGTTAGAATAAATTAAACATTTGTCAATTATATAATACAGTTTAATAAATGGAAAATAAACATTGTTGGACTTTTATCTTGCTATTGGGTAATAAAAGAGGTGAAGTACTAACATAGATTGCTTAAATCATGTTTTAATCTTTTGGAGAAAAGGTAGGTCTAGAGATACAAATGAATTTTTTTAACTGTTATTTTTCAAAATGTTTAGCATATGTGGAAGAAGAAGATCAAATTCAGGTTCGAGTCATTGCGGGAGCAACAGTTGCTGTGGTTGTTTTAGTGGTGGTAATAGTCGTTATGATTGTCCTATACATTAGAAGGTAAATATATACTTATCTGTCTGGTCATGTTCATGTGTACATTAAAAGTTAATATCTATTATAATAATACTCAGTTTTTATCTGTTCTGAAAATGCCTGCATACCTTACTATCTAAATGTGCGTGTGTATGCACTTCATTTCAATGGATCTAAACAAAAGGTGGATGTAAATATATTTTAGTAGATATTTTGTACAACAACCTATTAAAAGCTTTTCAAAGTTTTTAAAAAGGTCTAACATTAGGTTACGGAATAACATTATAAGTTTATTTATTATAGTATTAAGTACAGTAAAGTTTGGCACTAACCAAATTAAAGCAAAATATAAAACATACACAAGTTACAGTGTTGATTTATCTCTATCAAATAAAGGCTTAACTAATGTTAGGCTTAATACAAGTAGACTTAAAAATTTCAGTGTCTACTATTATAAATCTTTTGTATTACTCTAAAGATCCTGTATTTAAAGAAGTACTGTCGCAATAAAGATACTAAATTGAACACAAATGTTTTGGGGGCCTCTGCCAGTAGTACATGTTACCAGTTCTTGAATCTTGCATGTTACCAATAGCCCAATGACATTCTAGAGCATCTTAACAACTGTTGAATGTCACCATGATCACCTTATCATTTTGAGAGAAATGTTATTTTTTCTCTCAAATTAACAATAGTCATCATAATAGTAATTAACATTGTAAACTTTTAAGAGGTCTATAAACATAAATATTTTTAAAATTCTGTCCTGAACATTACCTTTTCTTTATTTCTAAAACACAAAATATCTTGTAAATATAAAGGTCTCATAATGATAATTGTTTTACTCTTACTGTTTATGAAAATAATAAAACCATCTATTTCCTTAATCTTTTCACATTTTTTTTAATTCTTTTAATACAAAAAAGCTCTTTTAGATTTTTAATTGAGATTAAAAAATAAAATTGGTATATGATGACTGTAGATAATCACGTAATGTGTTAATTTATTGATTGTTTCTAGAAGTTCTGATGACTGCAATAAAAAACAGCCAAGCGATTGTGATACTCTGGAATATCACAACGGGGAAGGTAAGAAATGTAAGTTGTTCTTTTTCTCTTCCTTACAGTTTTATTCTAGAAATTCAATATTACATTAGGTCTAATAAATAGTAAGTTATTGTGTAACACCAAGATTTAACAAGTAGAAACTCAGTGTGTAACACTGAAATTATTTTCATCTCTGTCGTTATTACTAACTGTCAGAACAGCTTTGATGAAATGGTAATACGGTGACTGCTAAAAATAAAATTTATGAAAAGAGGCAGAATGAAAATGCAAAAAATATAAAACGAATAAATTAATGTTCTCTGAAAACCAGTTGAAAATTTGCATGACTTGTAAGTTTTATTTGATATGAATTCATCCTTTTTTCTTTTAAAGTTAATTATGACTAAACTGTCAAGCATATTTTTACTCTAAAAAGATTTTAACATAACAAAGATGAAATACAAAATGTACATTTCTTGTGTTCAAGTATAATAATTAACATTATTTAAACCAATGTCCATAAAGTTTAAACATCAACAAATAAACTGGTTTCAACCAATAATGAAAATATTTTTTTTAAACCAAAGTACATAAGTTCATGTTTTTGTAGTAAAATATAAGAGCACTTGAGTTGCATGTGAAGGTGCTTTTCTTGAGCTATTTTAATCCAAAGCTTTGCCTATTAACGGCTGCTGATAGAAACTGCTTTACTTTGACAGTGGTTCCTGGCTTGGAACATCCTCCAATCGTTCCTACTGCTGGCAGTAAGTATATAACCCTTCTAGCTCTAGCCTTCTCTTTCACGGCTTATGTCTATGAATGATGTTGGTGTCTGCAGGTGCTGTGTAGACTAGTTTGTGGATTGACTTATTATTTATATAGATTATACACAATTTTAGATGTATGTCATAACTTCAACAAACAAATTTTATTGATCTTAAGTAGTTAGCTGCAGCCAAATGTAATGATACCATCTGTAATATTTCTTTAGCTTTAAAATACCAATAGTTATTTCCTCCACAGCTCCTACGCCCCTATATAAGACACATGAAATTTTGGACTTATATTAAATTCACCAAAATTTATTAATAACTTCTATTAATGTCTAATTTATTTAAAACAATTCCATGAATACTAATAATAACAAGCTATTGATTATCTGTGAACTTCAGTAATTGTGATTCGCTTATTTCAATTATCTGTGAACATCAGTAATTGTGACTCGCTTATTTCAATTATATGTGAACTTCAGTAATTAGGACTCGCTTATTTCAATTATATGTGAA